ATCCCCGCAGATTCCAAACCCGCCAGGCACGAACCAGACCCCGAAGGCATCTGCGCCAGGGCAGAAGGACTGGTTCGGAAGGCCAACCTGGCGAAAGCAACAGCGGCCCTACACACGTCGCCACTGGCAGAACCGTCCCAGGCCACACTTGAGGCTCTCCGAGCGAAACACCCAGGCGCAACACAGGCGATACCGGAGGGTGTTAACGGTTACACTTCCTGTGGGCTCGACATCAGTGCGGACAGGTTTCGCGAGCTGTTGGCGAAATGCCCTAACGGCATTGGGGCAGGCCCTTCGGGCACCTGCTTTGAACACCTTCGCGACCCTGCCTTAACCAACGCGGAGGTATTCGATCTACTGCACAAGATTGTGAACCACCTGCTAAGTACCTACCAGAACGAGCAGATACAGGAACTACTCCTCCCTTCTAGGCTGATCGCCCTGAGCAAACCGGACGGGGGAGTGCGACCGATAGCAATAGGGGAAACACTGCTGCGACTAACGGCCAAAGCGGCACTTAAGGAACTGGGCGAGGAGATTCGTAACTACTTCCTACCAGTGCAACTCGAAGTAGCCGTTCCAGGGGGCGCGGAATGCATAATACACACGACACGGGCGCTCCTGGCCGAAGATCCGACGCGGATAGCCCTCCACCTGGACGTAGAGAACGCGTTCAACTCTGTTGAACGCGAGAGCTTCCTTTCCTCGTTAAGATGGACTAGGCTGATTTCTCTCCTACCCCTTGTGCGCACGCTATACGGCTCCCCATCGAAGCTCCTGCTGGACTGTGGTTTTGGGGCGCCATCCATTGACAGTACGAGGGGAGTCCGCCAAGGAGATCCGCTTGGCCCTATGTTGTTCGCGATGGCCATACAACCGGCACTCCTGACGGCGGCAGTCCAGGTGCCGTCGGTGACAATAATGGCTTACGCCGACGACATCAAAATCGTGGGGGAGGCGGCCGGGGCGATTAAAGCACTCGACATGATCTGTGGGGAGCTAAACGCTCACGGCCTGAGGTGTAACCTCACCAAATCATCCGCGTGGAGCCCATCTGGAAGCTCGGACACCCTGCCAGACGGACTGGTAGCGGCGGTGGACGGTATAAGAGTTCTTGGGAGCCCGGTGGGGACGAGGGCGTTTTGCAGGCGGTTTCTCAGGGGGGCGCTAGGGACCATGTCGGCACCACTCGGCCTCATCGCCCGCCTTCACCCACAACACGCAATGCTGCTGCTGTCGCGGTGTATCTCCCGCCGGGCGTCCTACCTCCTGCGTACCACACCAGCGAACGCGCTGCCACTTAGGGAATGGAGGGAGTGGAGTGAACGACTACTTTGGACCGCCCTCAAGGCGGCCCACCTGCACACGCCAACAAAGGAGCTCGAGCAAAGCCTGGCGTGGAGACAGGCGACTTTGCCAGTGGCGCTAGGAGGTCTAGGCCTCATCGACCCGCTGTCAGAGGCACCAGCGGCATACCTGGCCTCACTAAATGCAGCCCAGGCCCTCCTGCAGCAGGTGTCTGACACGCCAGATCACCCGCTACAACGCGTAGGGGAGCTGGTTTCACCACAGGGGGAAGGGGCGGCAGTGGGCAGCAGAACAACGCTGCAGGATATGCGGAACAGGCTCCCGGAGGCGGCACGAGAGCTGCTTAAGGGATTTGGCCGCAAAAATGGGGGGAAGGGGCAACTACAGGAGCTCCTCTCCAAGCACATCAACCAGGACCGGGCAGCTGAACTACTGGGCGATACACGGGTGGATAAACCAGGAGCGTACAACGGCCGTGTGATCCGCTTAATCAGCCTGCAAGGAGTAGGGGCAGGGGATTGGCTACACGCCATCCCCACGAGAGGGGACCTTACGTTTTTGCCAGGACAGTACGCCATGGCCTTGGGTTTCCGATTGGGACTGACCCTGCCGGTGACAGACACATGCCCGTGTCACGGGGAACGGTCTAAGATCGAGGACCGAAGCCTCCCCAACCACCTGCTGAGGTGCGCGGAAGGACAGGACAGGACCAACACACACAACTGCCTGGTGTATGCGGCACTGCGAATGGCACACAAAGCGGACTACATGACTTTGCATGAGACCACCATCTACTCGCAACCCATCAACCCTAAGCGAGCGGACCTGGCCATCAAAGACCGTGAGTCAGCTGAAACGTTCGTTACAGACGTCACGGTCACGGACCCGGTACTACAGCGGCGGGAGAGAGTGAGAACACAAAATAGTGTCCTCTCTGTCGGATTTCACTATAGGCCTCTCGGCGGCGCTGGCCACCTATGAGGCGGATCTTACAGGAGGGGGCTGGACGGTTGGTTAGTGCTGGGGTTGTTTGGTGGCATGATTGGCCGGCCAATTACCTATGCATGTGCTTGCTTGCTTGTCAAACTATGCTGCCTGCCTAGGGATTGCTTGTTAGGCTCTTACCCATGCCTTGGTTGTACCCCATCATCATATCAATGAAGGACCGCTTGAGAGAGAGAGAGGGAGAGAGAAAGAAGGGGGGAGGAGAGAGGGAGAGAGTGAGAACACAAAATATCATGGTGGCAATAAAATGCACAATATGGCGAAGGGTCCTTACGTTTTTGTCAGCTCGTCGAGGTGTGCAAGGCTATCTTCCATTTGGTATGGCCGCAGCCACACCTCAGAGTGCCAGTACACGTATAGTGTGGCCGTTCGTGTGATGTCCTTCCTCACATCAAGCACCTCTAGTATCACCGGAAGAATTTGCAGCACCGCTTGATGTTCAAATGCTTGGAATGTCCCCTTGTTTGCGAAGTATCTCTTCGCATATGACGGTAGGCGGAACATGGATTGGCGACTGTAGTTGGTGATCCCGCGCATTGCATCATCCAGTTGATCTAGCAGCTTAGGCAACATCGCACGAAGGCAATCGATGATATGCTTGAATACTCCAAGAAGTGATAAGTGCATGATGTCGCCCATGAAAGCGCGGTAAAGATTCCTCCACGACGTATTGCCATTCGGAAACCCCCATATTGCCACCTGCCATGATGCGTATGCATGCGTATATCGTATCGTTAGGGGCGCATAGGAAGGAACATAAACGTTTCAACATACGCGGAGTGTTGCCATAGACAAGCAATCCAAGGCTAGTGGAAAGTATTGCTTACATTGACGGCGTGTGTACTCTCTCGCGTCTCAGCTCTTGCAAGTCCACGGGTTGACGATCGATGCACATCCACAATTGCTTTTGTTAGAAGTTGCCCTTACTCAGTTCGGTAAGAGCGTTCAGCTTCCACGTTTGCCATGTTCTCTTTTGATGCTTGGCATCTTGGGCATGGAAACTGCGTTTGATGACCCCCCTTTGTCCCAGCTATCTTGCATTGCTCCGGATAGTCTCCTACGTAGGCATATAGAAGCGGCTGAACCCATCGCAGCACACCGTAAGGATCCTTCAAAGGAGCGCCCGTTTTCTCCTTCTCTTTCTGTTCCTCCAGCATGATCGCAAGTCATTGGTGTATGATTTCAAGACGTCGCCTTGTGGGATCTACTCCCGGATGCACTTGGTGCTTTTGCAATGGTGGTAGCATGGCTGCCATCGTCCTGCCATGAGACTTCCACCTGTTTTTTGACGATGTGTTTCCAAGGGCGACATACACTGGATGTTCTGAAGCTCCGCCATCCTTTGCAAGCTCAGTTTCATCTGAGTACAGTATCAGAGCTGCTATAGAAGCGCCGGCTGGAAGATCGTCAACTGCCTCTCTCCATAACGTGCCAGTGGATGGATCGGTGTATCAATGCGGTGTCTCTTCTGAATCTACCGTATTCTCCCAGACAAAACACCCCCCCATAATTGTACACCCCCGGGTAGCTTGTACGGGGTGGGTGTTATGATAGACCTCGTTTCTACTATACCCCCCTTTTTGGCTGATTTTATATAACACCCCCCCTTTCTTATGGATTCATTATTATATTTGTTAACGAGTAGCTGCAATACGGAAGAATATCGCGTGACTTTCTCCCTCGATGAAATTTCGCGGTACATTCAAATGCAATTTGCCGAGATTTGCCCCCTCCCACTATTTCGCTGTCGCCACGTGCAGGTGAATCTTCCGCTGCAAGTGGCAAGAGAGGTGCCACATGGCATTTTCGTGGGGGTGATGAAGTTCGAGGCCGAAACTCGCATTCGCGCCTCAGGCAGTGATGTTAAAATGACCAGCAAAACACCCACATTGACTAATTAAAAAAACACTAACACTAAAATGTGCCATATGTAAAGACTCGGGTATTATGTATTTTTTTTTCCTATGAGGAGACCCCCCCCCATTTTTTCCCTGTATTTTTAGCTATACCCTAGGGTGTTATGTCCGGGAGAATACGGTACTAGCTCCGGTGCAATTATGAATCCCTCAGCATTTGCAGGATTAGTGTACATGTCTACCACGCAAGCCCACGTTGGACGCCACCAGAATATCACCTCCATCTTGTCCTTGCTTTTGTCCGTAAGGTCGATCCGCTGAAACGGTTGTAGCACCACCCGTTGCGTAAGAGATTCCTCTAGCTTGTCCACATCTGAGACGGTCTTCAGTGTGAGTTGCGCTCCTGCATCATGGAATAATGTCAATAACTCCTTGATCGACTCTCTCGAGAGGCTGCTCCCACCGTTTCCTGTTTTACAGAATCTCCAGAAGCGACGATCTATGGCTGTGTATGGTTCCGCTTCACTAGTTGCATAATCATCGCGCGGCTGTGATTCGCATGGCATCGGGGCACTGCCCGACGGTACAGACGGTGTCGCATCCTCTGAGGATGTACCAGGGCCTGGAGCTGAAGGCTCAGGCATATTGCGTGTGGTGGTAGGGGCATACTCATGTCTACTACTGCAGACATGATTTGTGCGCTCTGCTTGGGTTGCAAATGTAACAATGCAGTCAGGATCGCTGCACGTGATTCTAAGGCGTTTTCTACCGTCCATTGCTAATTCATCAGCTGAACCGAGTAATCAGATTGCATTGTACATTGATGACGTACTAAAACAGCATGATGTACATTGGAAACCAATTGATACAACAGTGACTGACGGCTGCGATGCTGTTTACGGCGATGAATGTGATGGGAGGGGCACGCCAGGAGGAGGAGGGTGAGGGAGGGCTGGGAGGAGGAGGGGGAGGGAGGGCTGGGAGGAGGAGGGTGAGGGCGGGCTGGGAGGAGGAGGGTGAGGGCGGGCTGGGAGGAGGAGGGTGAGAGAGGGCTGGGAGGAGGAGGCTGAGAGAGGGCTGAGAGGAGCAGGGTGAGGGCGGGCTGGGAGGAGGAGGGTGAGGGCGGGCTGGGAGGAGGAGGGTGAGAGAGGGCTGAGAGGAGCCGGGTGAGGGCGGGCTGGGAGGAGGAGGGTGAGGGCGGGCTGGGAGGAGGAGGGGGAGGGAGGGCTGGGAGGAGGAGGGGGAGGGAGGGCTGGGAGGAGGAGGGGGAGGGAGGGCTGGGAGGAGGAGGGGGAGGGAGGGCTGGGAGGAGGAGGGGGAGGGAGGGCTGGCAGGAGGAGGGTGAGGGCGGGCTGGGAGGAGGAGGGTGAGGGCGGGCTGGGAGGAGGGTGAGAGAGGGCTGGGAGGAGGAGGCTGAGAGAGGGCTGAGAGGAGCAGGGTGAGGGCGGGCTGGGAGGTGGAAGGTGTGATGGGATGGGAATGGGATGGGCGGGGGGAGATGGGGTGAATGGGATGGGGAGGAAGGGGATGGGGGGAATGAGATAAGCGGGGGGATACGGGATGAATGGGATGGGAGGAATGGGATGGGGGGAGGGGGATGAGCGGGGGGAGACAGGATGAATGGGGTGGGAGGATGCGGATGGAGGAAATGGGATGAGCGGGGGGAGATGGGATGAATGGGATGAGAGGAAGCGGATGGGGGAAATGGGATGAGCAGGGGGATACGGGATGAACGGGAGGGGGAGGAATGGGATGGGGGAAGTGGGATGAGCGGGGGGAGACGGGATGAATAGGATGGGAGGAAGGGGATGGGCGGAATGAGATGAGCGGGAGGTACGGGATGAATGGGATGGGAGGAATGGGATGGGGGGAGACGGGATGAATGGGGTGGGAGGATGCGGATGGGGAAAATGGGATGAGTGGGGGGAGATGGGGTGAATGGGATGGGAGGAAGGGGATGGGCGGAATGAGATGAGGGGGGGTACGGGATGAATGGGATGGGAGGAATGGGATGGGGGGAGGGGGATGAATGGGGTGGGAGGAAGCGGATGGGGAAAATGGGATGGGCGGGGGGAGATGGGATGAATGGGGTGGGAGGAAGGGGATGGGCGGAATCATCCCAAAATTCCACACGCAAAAATCACTTTGAAAACGCGGGAGACCCCGGGGTCACCCTCACGGGGTCACTCTCATGATGAGATGAGCGTGGGGATACGGGATGAATGGGATGGGAGGAATGGGATGGGGGGAATGGGATGTGCGGGGGGAGATGGGATGAGCGGGGTGGGAGGACGGACTGGGGGAAAATGGGATGAGCGGGGGGGGATTCGGGATGAATGAGGTGGGATGAGGGGGATGAGCGGAATGGGATGAGCGGGGGGATACGTGATGAATGGGATGGGAGGAATGGGATGGGGGGAATGGGATGAGCGGGGGGAGATGGGATGAATGGGGTGTTGACGCGAAAGGCCCTGCACGAGCCTGTTTTCATGTGTGAGGGCTTCGAGCGAAAAGTGTCCGTGCAGCAGAGCGCGTCCCGCAGCCGCGAAAATGTTCGCAATGCATTCTGGGTTCTTGTCTGCGCGGGATCGAGGTTTCACGTCTGTGCTGGGGCGAGTTTTCGCGCCCCTGGGAGGTTTTGCGTTGGATCACCGTTGCGGGATTTCCCGCAGGTTACGAAACGGGAGGAGGCGCGGAAAAGTTGTACATGGCGAAATTAGGCTAAGTCCTGACTTCGGGAGGGAAAATTCGCGCAGTACACTCCGTCGCCGACATTGACCCGCGAAACAGAAACGGACAGAATCGAAGGAAGTGACTATATTGCACAAGCGAGGCATGTGTAACTGCAAATGTTGCAGAAACATGAACAACTACTCCTAGTTAGGTAGAAATTTACCTGGCATGTTAATTTCACCTGCCGTTGCTGACTTGGCAACGCACATGCTAGAGTAGTTGTCGGAACGTTTTGTGTGAACGTTCGCGAATATCGTCGCTTCGTTCCTATATGGTTCTGGTCCTTCCCATTGTACTCTATTATTCTCTTTTCCTAGTGAAGCTATGTGTGAACAATATCTCAACACTTAGAATTTTCACAAGGCATCACAACAAGATTTCGTGCCCCAACCTAGAGTGTACATTTCGTGACGAGATTCCCGTGCCCACAATTTCGTGCCCTAGCCTTCCCGAAACTTTGAAATCTCCGCATGGTGCGGTGAGCGTGGAACGACGCGCGAGACCTTCAGATAGCCGAGTAGGTCACAGAGGCGAAAGGGCAATACGTGGACTTGTACGGGGGCCCATGCGGGCCAACGCCACGAGTGTCGGAGGAACGCAAGCGCAGGTGCTGCGAGCGGCCGCTGCTGGAAGTGCACGCGGTGGTGCGGATGGGTCACGAATCTCTGCTCGTCGAAGTGTGGACGGACGCGCGAGGGCGTCTCAGCCTTCGACCTCTCGCGATATGGGCCTCGCCCCCGAATATGGCTACTTCAAGTTCTCACCTGACAAAATCACGGTCCCGAAACCGCTTGAAGGACGCCACGACCTGACAACGTGGGTGGAATCGATTGAGCCGCAGCTCGAAATCGCGCAACTGAAGAAATTCGTGAATGGCTCCGTGGTACCTCCACCAGACGACGACTATGAGCGCATCTCTCAGTTCCAATCCGCACAACTGCTGACGTTCATGGTGATTTCGCGGTGCTGCTCTCCAGTTGTTCAAGTCGCCCTGAAGCCGTGCCGTATGCGCGAGGACGCGGGATTCCAAGCGTGGCAGTTCATCATGAAGACGTACAAGGCCACGGACGACTTGTACCTCGGGCAGCTGGAGCAGCGCCTCACGAACCTCGAAATGGGGGAGCACGAAAGCGCCACAAGCTACTGCAACCGTGCTCAACAAGTTCTTGCGGACCTGCGATGGCGGGCGTGGAGTACGCGATGTCCTCGTACATCACGCACGTGATCAAAGGCCTCCCCAAACGCTACAATCTGCTGAGGCGAATGGTGAAGCTCCCGGGAGTGCGCGAAGAACTTGACGAGGATTCGCTCTCCAGCTACATCATCGAGGAGGAGTTTATGCTCGAGTTTGAAAAACGCAAGGAGCAGTTGCTTCCGCACGCGAATTTCGTGGCACCATCGCAAAAAGGGGGTCAGCATCAGCAGGGGAAGCAGCAGCAGCACGGACAACAGAAGCAGCAGCAGCAGCAGGGCAAATTTCGTGGAGGTGGAAAGGGAAGCAAAAACGAGGACAACCGCGGGAAGTCGAGCAAGAAGGAAGATCGCGGCCGTGGCCAACGCAAGCGCTATTGCTTTGTCTGCGGCGACCCGGAGCATCTCTCCTACCAATGCCCAGATCGTGCCGGTGGTGATTCGGGCGATGAGCACGAGGGGCCACGCGAACGGTCGAATGGAGGACAATCTCGGTGCGAAAACCAGCACAACAGCGCGCGAACGCTGCTGGTGGTGGCAACACGAACGCTAGTGCAAACGCGACGACGACCACGAACACGAATGGCACGGGCCAAGCTTCGTGTGCGATGGTGGGGACTATCGCGTATGCTTCACCTTCAACGGAGACCCCAATTTCGCTGGCGCCTAAGGCGGGTGAAGATTGTCAAGTGGTTGCTGCAGCTGTGCAGGCAAATCCATCAGTCGTGCTGCTGGATAGTGGCTGCTCGCATCACTTGATGGGGGACCGAAATGCATTCGTGGGCATGCAGGACGGAGGCGACGTGAGCCACGTGCACGGATTCAACGAAGCTGTTCAACCTGTTCGTGGCCGCGGAACCGTCGCTTTCGAAGGAGAGGGGGGAAAGCGCATCCTGGTTTCGGACGTGCTTTACGTCCCTGGAGTACAGGCGAACCTCCTCTCGACTGGTCAGCTGAAGGACAGCGGAGTGAAGATGGAGGAAGCGGATGATGAGACTGTGCTCCTCTCCACGAACGGCACCGTTTTCGCGCGAGCGCGCTACATGGGACGGGTACTCTGCACCGAACTTCGTCCGTTCGCGCCACGAAATTCGGACCCCGTGCAAACCGTGGCGCTGCGAGCGATCGTTTCGTCTATCCGCGATTTCGTGGATAAGTGGCTGGCACGCTCGTTTGGCTCACGTGGGGATCGACACGATCAAGAAAACGGCCGCGCATGGAGCAGCAACAGGCTTGGAAATCATTCCATCAAGCGGAACGGACATCCCGTGCGTCTCCTGCGGTGGAGGCAAACTCGTTCGCCACACGTTCCCCGAAGAAGGCAAGGAGGCAGCGAGCGTCTTGGACGTTGTTCACGTGGACATTTGCGGGCCATTTCGTGTCGCGGTGAAGGATGGAAGCAGATACTTCCTCAAAGATCGGAAGACACGTTTCGTGTGGACATACCCGCTCGTGCAGAAGAGCGACGCCCTGAAGCGGTTCCGAAAATGGCTGCCGATGGTGGAACGCCAGTGCAACGCGAAGGTGAAAACGCTCCGTTCGGATCGTGGAGGGGAGTTCCTGGGCCACGAATTCACGGAATTCCTGGACAACTGCGGCATCATTCACGATCTCACATGCCCTTACACCCCACAACAGAATGGGATGGCAGAGCGAGAGATGGGCACGGTTGTGGAATCGGTGCACACGATGCTACTGCACATGGGCGTGGAGCATCACTAGTGGCCCTTGGCACTGCGGCAAGCTGTTTGGATTCGCAACAGCCTCGAACGCGCCTCTCTCCCTTCGGGAACCACACCGCACGAACTCGTGTTCGCGGATAAGCCCGATCTGACGCTTGCTCGTGTTTGGGGTTGCATGGTGCAGTTTATGGTGCCGGAGCATCAGCGCGGGGGTAAGCTGGAACCGAAAGCTCGGTGGGAGTCCATCTTGGAGTTTCACCCACGAGCAAAGGCTGGGAGGTGCTGGATCTTGTGGCAAATCGCGTCGTCACGACCGTGGAAGCAGTCTTCCACTAAAATCTCTCGCTGGAAGGATGGAAGGCTACGAAAACGGTGGAGCCTCGTCTCGGTGGACCTGCGCCCGTGTTCCCGCCTGTCCCCACGCCGGATTTGTTGGCTCCCGAGACTGACGACGACCTCAATCCTCCCCCCGCAGCAGTTCCGCCTCATGTCCCAACATCCGTCCCGAACACCGCGGTCCCATCCGTTTATCCGCGGGTGGTACCTGCGGTTCCCCCCTCCTCACCTCCAGCTCCATTTCTCGTCACCTCCTCTCCTTTGGAGGCGGGGCGGCAATCATCCGTACAGATCCCGTTTTCTCAGTCCTCTGCCTCGACCGCTGGTTACAAGGGGAGAAACGAGGCACCACGCGAAGTGCCTTCTGTTCGCGCCACCAACGGTCGATCGGACGATCCGTTAACCGCGCACGAAACGGGCTCCACGAAAACGAGTGACACAGAGACTGGGGAGCTGCTTGGAGGCACGAAAACGGGTGGCACGGAGATAGGGGAGCTGCTTGGAGGCACGAAAACGAGTGGCACGGAGACAGGGGAGCTGCTCGGAGGCACGAAAACGAGTGGAACGGAGACAGGGGAGCTACTCGGAGGCACGAAAACGAGTGATGCTGAGACGGTCCCGGAAATCGTTTCAGTCGAAAATCCTCCTCTCCGTCGCTCCGGACGCACTACGCAAGGTGTGCTCCCACTTCGCTACCGCAAAGTCTGCCCTGTGTTTGCCAACACCCTCCTTGACAACGCTCACGCGGATCCGAAACTCCCCGAGCTGGATCCCGACATGGTCGCGGATCCCGAACGTCGGTGGGACATCTCAACCATGACTGTCAAGGAAGCTTTGGGGGGTTGGAAGGGTGCAGCAGTGAAAGCGACGATGGACGACGAAATTCATACCCTCCTAAAAAACGGAACGTGGGAGCTGGTCCGAGGCCACGCGGAGTCAACATCTTGAAGAACCGTTGGGTTCTAACGACCAAATACAAAGCGGACGACACGGTGGCACGCGAGAAAGCGCGACTGGTGGGGAAAGGGTTCACGCAAGTCTATGGCGCCGACTACGACTTAACCTACTCGCCTGTCAGCAGCTACGTCACCTTGCGAATTTTTCTGTCTGTTGCGGCTGCACTTGACCTGAACATCGTGCAGTTTGACATGAAAAACGCTTTCGTGCAGAGTAAGCTGGACCGTGTGTTGTTCATGGAGCAGCCAGAGCACTACAACGACGGCACAAATCGGGTGTGCAAACTCCTCAAGAGTTTGTACGGGCTCAAACAGAGTCCGCTGTTGTGGTACGAGGCACTTGACAGCGTCCTTCTTGGTGGCGGATGGAGCAAGAGCCAAGTCGATGAGGCGCTCTACTTCAAGACGGGCGCGGACGGAGAACGGTGCTGGCTGATCATGTACGTGGACGACCTGCTCGCCGCGAGTCGTAGCCTCGAAATGCTGAAGGGGCTGCGCGAGCTGCTGGAAAACGCGCTTGAGATGCACGAAATCACCCCCGTGGAGAAGTACTTGGGGTTGGAAATCGTGCGAGACAGGCCAGCGCGAAAATTGTGGCTGCACCAACGCACGTACGTTGACAAGCTTCGTCGACGTTTCGTGGACGAAGAGATTTCGGGTCGTCGCCCGAAAACCCCGGTTTCAGTCGACGCGTACGGTGAACGGACGTTTGGCGACGACGACTACCAGGCCCGCGAAGAGGAGGAGTATCGCCGGAAAGTGGGGTCGCTGCAGTTTGCCGCGAGCACGCTCCGTCCCGACATTGCTTTCGCGTGCATCAAGTTGGGCTCCGGGCTGACCGTGCGAAGTGACCAGGACTGGAGGGAGCTGGACCGCTGCATCGACTACGTGGTGAACACCCGCGATTTCGCCCTCGAATTTGGTGGAGGACCCGAATCCTTGACTCTGATCGGATACGCGGACGCAGATGACGCGGGTGACCGAGAGAACCGAACCAGCACTAGTGGCTATGTTTTCGAGTTCGGTGGGGCTGCTGTTTCATGGGGAAGCCAGAGAATCAAGTGCGTGACTCTGTCATCAACTGAATCGGAGTACATCGCTGCAACGGAAGCCGGGAAGGAAGCACGACAACTTCGCTTTCTGCTTGCGGAGTTCCAACTTTTGGACCCGAAAACGCCTACCGTCATCAACATCGACAACTCTTCGGCCATCGCGGTTGCAGAAGGGTTGGGGCTCAAGGGGAGTCTCAAGCACATGGAGAGGCGGTACATCTGGCTGCAGCAGATGGTGAAGCGCAACAAACTCGCACTGACGTACATTCCGACGAGTGAGCAACCCGCGGATTACCTCACGAAGGCGTTGTATTCCCCGGCCTTCAGTCGCTGTGGCGTCGCTGTTGGGC